CTCTCTCTCTCTCTCTAGAGCAAAAGTAGTTTATTGTTAGGTAATCCACTCCACAGGCAGAGTAGAAGCTGCCCTTAGGCAAGAGACAGCCCCGACCCTCCATAGGGCTTTGCTTTTTATTAAGCTTTTTAATTGGCATTGGGATTTCTGACAGTCCCTGGATGACCCTGTTGTGAGGGCTGCCGGCCTGAGCCGTTCTTTCCTTGCTGAGGGGAATGGCTGGCTCTCTGATATCAAACTCAATAGACATAGGTTCTCCTTCTGACTCCCCATGTTGTCCTTACGTGCTGCCAACTTTAGGATCTGCTGACAGATATTAAAGATGCTAAAGGAGCCTGAGCAGGGAGGTCAAGCCTTCCAGAATTTACAGTGGGTGGTTCTTAGGATAGACACCAGTGTTTCAGGTTCACATCAGCCTTCAGTGTTGAAATCGGCCCTGGGTCAAAAGTCATCTTGTATCATAACAGCGTGAATCTTGGTAAACTGTTCACTCTCCTGGTCTCAGATTCTTCAATTGGGAGCTCAGGTCTTACTCTCTTCTTTTTTTTTTTTTTCCTTTCAAAGAAAAGTCAGGTTTATTGAGCTATAATTTACAATAAAACTTGCCCTTTTAAGGAGTACTGTTGAATGAGTTTTGACAATGTATGAGTCCATGTAACCACCGCCATAATCAAGATCTAGAGAGATTCTGTCACCCCAAACAGCTTCTTCGTAGCCAGTCCCCTCCTTCCCCCTCCAGCCCCTGGCCACCACTGCTGTCACTAGTTTTGCCTTTTCCAGAAACCCGTGTTAATAGCAGCACAGAGTGTCTCTCCTTTTTTTTTTTAAAGATTTTTATTGGGGGAAGAGGAACAGACGAGTTGCTGTCCTTTTGTTCTTCAGTCTAGTTGTGGAGGATGTTGCTTCACTGGCCCAAGTTGGCACCATCATTGCGCTCTTCCCAGGAGAGGCAGCTGGCCGCTCACGCTGGCTGCTGGCCACACACGGTAGCCCATGGCAACCCACTGCAGCAGGGGCTGCAGCCTACGCTGTCGCCAGCAACTGACA